TTAACCCTGACGTTCTTGTCTAAAGGGGTATGCGCGGCTGCGGGCCGTGTCCTGTCGTGCCTCCTCTTTAAATATTTACCACCTCCAGCTGTGAGGATGTGTGTCAGAGCGGAGGAGAGAGGGGAAAGATGGGGGGAAAAAAATAAATGAATGTGTGCCCTCCACCCCTGGAGACCTCCCTGAGGGTCTGTCTGTCTGGAAAAGCGAGAAAGAGAGAGTGAGAAAGAGAGAGGTAGAAAAAGAGCAAAGGAGAAAGAGATAGAGGTAGAGACAGAGAGATAGAGATGGAGCCAAAGATAGAGATGGAGAAAGAGAGAAAAATAGAGGGGTAGAGAGAGAAAAAGACAGATAGAAGGAAAATAGATAGATAGATAGATAGATAGATAGATAGATAGATAGATAGAGTGAGCTTCTAAACGAAAAGCGAAAGAGAGAAACACAATTAGATGACAGCACTCACTGGGAGAGGAGGAGGAGAAGGAGGAGGAGGAAGAACTGATTGAAGGTAATGGGAAAAGGAGGAGTGGTGGCAGAGGACATGGCAACGTAGAGGGGGGCTTGTAATTCACATAGACCCCCTACAGGGTAAATTATTTATAGTCTTCCCCTCTCTGTCGGTACGGTTTGCCCTGAATTCACCTAAATTCATAATTCATATTCCTGCGTTCACCATATATTTGGTTTGGTGCCAGACTGGCCTTCCTCGTCTCTGTACAGTGGATTTAACTGTCTGTCTCTGTCCGTCTGTGCGTCTTCCTGGAAGTCAACATCTCTTATGCATGAGCCTGTGGCACTGAGATAAGTCTGGAGGGTTAAAGCTTGTAATGAGAAGGACGAAGAAACACACTGCAAATGTGTGAAATTAACGTGAGGCAAAATATAACATCGTAATACTTAAAGGCATTTTTATGACAGACGACCTCACAATATCTAGTTTCATCTGCAGTTTGTGAAGACATTAGAACAGACAGCACCAGCAAAACAATATCACATAGAAAAAAGGTTGTGAAAAATAATGAGTACGAAGTAATTAAAAAAAAAAAGTATTTAGGAAGTAACAAGAGAAAAAATAGTTCTAATGATTAGGCTAGAAGTGTAACGTGTAATTCAGACACATGCCATCCTTATCATCTGGAGGGTGGATGTCTTTTTATTTCATTTTCAAAGCTGACATAACTGGATTAAACTACGCAGAAGACACCTAATGGTCAGGCTTATGCCAGATCTAAGGTAAGCTACATTTTATTAAGGTCAATGTATTTGCTAAGACACATTTTAATATGAGATCTAATTATATGACAAATAATAAACAGGACTGTACAGAGCTCACATCGGTGATTAAAAACATTTTGTAAAGATAAATGTTAATGCAAACGCACAATCATTTCTATTGTTTTATTAAAGTTTGCTGAAAGACCTTGTCTCCGAAAATTTAACGCTGCATCATCTGCGGGGTTCGCTTAAGTATTAGTTTGAGTGTTAGCTCATGTGAAGGGGCAGCTTCCGCTGCTGAAACCTCCTTCTTATTAGACAGGAAAACCTGTGGCTTTAACATCCAGTGGCTAAAAGATTTCTCCGGTTTGACTGATGTAAATATAAAGTAGACATAACAACAATAACTAACTGAGGTGGGACTTGATAACTAGCTAATCGGTCTAAATCTGTCCATTTATGAAACATGCAGATCTTCAATGTTGTAGAAGTACTGATGAAACCCATGATATACTCAGAAGAGTGTAAAGTGAAAGAATTGATCACGATATCGATAACATATTGGCCACCTCTATGTGCAGTAATGCTTTCTCCTAATCTCCTGCTAGAAGCCTCACCCTAACAATAGAGTGTACTGGATTACACGAGGTCCATAACCGTCCAGCTTATCTCATTACGTGGAAGCATTATGGGAGAAAGCAGCAATTATTGTGCCTGATAAAAAGTCAATATACCACTGAAGCCCTGGCAACCGCCGCCTTTAAAGCGTGTAAGTGTGCGCATTTCTGAACTAACACTGTAGAGACTTACAATACAGTCATTTGAGCAGCTGTTTCCCTTCATGTTTTTATTCCACTCTTTACTCTTAATCCCTTGATACTTTGCACTTTGGTCAAAGCTTTTTTCACCTCTCTCCCTCCCCCCTCCATTCTCTCCATTTTGCTCTATCCTGCTCTCGGATGTAATAAAGTGCACACAGATTGACACGCTGCTGACAGCAGGCAATATTTTTTTCTGCTTTATTGACTGAACATCATATGCTGGATATCCCAGCGCTCTCTTTGTGTCTTCCTAAAGGCCTGTGATGTGGGCAGACAGCTTTGGAGCTTCTCTAAACCCACCTGAGAACTGACCTGCATCAGCGGCTCCAGCAGAATGCTCTAAAAGAGGGCCATCAACAAGGCTGAGAGGAGCCACTTGTAGTAGGGGTGTAATGATACGCAAATACCACACACAGTGCCATACTGTGTTTTGCCAACATTCATTTTGACCAAGATAAGACAGCATCTGCTGAAAGCATAATTAACACCTAAGTCGTTTTCTCAGAAGACAAATTTAAATAAACGTAAAGTATTGTTAAAGGTATAAGGCGGGGGAGGGTTTTTTGCAATGTATGTCATTATATGTGCTGCATGATGATGTCACAATCATATCAGTATCTGCAAATCTTTGCTTTAAAGAATTTTAATCAGACAGATGTTTCTAACCAGTGATTCATGATGTATGTTATTGTACTTTGGAATAGCAGGGCTACTGAGCTAAAATGTCTATATTCTATGAGCACAGGGGTGTTCAAAAAGTTTGAACACCCCTGACCAAATTATACATTTTGCTGATTTTCTAAATGACAATTAAGTGGCATTCTTCTGCTAATCTTAGTGAAAAATATTAATTAGAGTTCAATATATTGGACAAAATAAAACATAAAACCAAAAATGTGCCATAACTTCTGCTGTCACGCCTTCCTCTGGAGCCGTCAACCTAGCCAACTCCAACTCCCAGAACTCTTTTGGCGATCACATGACTGTTGATCCGCCAACCACAGCCAATTGTCGTTCCCTTTCTCCAGAGTACTTATCTTATGCACCTGTTTTGTTTGTAATATGACTAGAAGTAGTTAATATTTCAAGCCCAGGCTTTAATTAGGAAGTTACGGTACCGAGCGTTTTTTTTTTTTGCCTTTTTTGTGTATTGGACTCTATTTTCTGGAGTTACGACTCTGCCTTTTGTCTTTGCCCTTTTGATCTTGTTGCCTGTTTTGTTTTGATTGTTCTTTTGTATTTTTGGATTGTTTTGGAATTGACCTACGCCTGTTTTCTGACAACGAGCTTGAATACCGCATTAATCAGTAAAGCCTCTTTTTCTAACAATATCCACGAGTGTCTGATCAGTTCTGTGGTGTTACATCTGCACAGGCCACATTTTATGTTCTTTTTCCTCAATATGTTAGTTTCAGAAAGTAAACTTACAATGTGCATTAAAATGTGCAGAATTTTGTTCTCTGTAGAGGATATTAACTTCTTTTCACTTAGAAAATCAAGAAAACAAATAGATTTGACACTGGGTGCCCAAACTTCCACATATGACTATATTTATCTATAATTCTAATCCAGAATTGGCCCAGAATTCCCATTTCACTGCATCCCTACCTGATATTACCCGATATAGCATAAACTTAATCATATTCAATTCACAGTGTGAATTCTATCAAAACTCATTTAATTGAAAAAATATATAATATTAGGGCCCAACTGGTGGTGTTGCTGGAGCCTATCCCAGCACTCACTAGGCTGAAGGCAGGAAACAACATAGTTATAATTACAAGTAATGCTAAATGTATGCAAGCCACATGTATCCAAGCCTTTTTCATGAGAAGAACGTAACAGAAAATAAATTATGTGGAGAATAATTTATTCTGGCCTCTAGCACGATAATATTTATGTTATTAAAGACTGTGAGTTTACGTGAATTTAAGAAATGCGACCATTGAGAACTGAGTCATATCTGTCAGTAAAGCACTGTTAAATAAAACTATTTAAGCATAAAATTGAAATCTAAAATATAAGTTTAAAATTATATTGGCCATTATTATCAGTTATTGTGATTTCAAAAGTTGTATCAGTATAAAATAATGCAGCGCAACATGATATTATTTATTGATATTGTGATACATTTTCTCAATATATGTCAGACTACGCTATTCTGAGCGTACTGTGGATATCGTCAATCCTTAACCATTTCACAACCGCGTGTTTGACTGCAAAGCCTATATGTAGTGTAATTAGAGCACAATCAGATTTCATTTTAATTAGTGCAGCTGAGTGTGTGAAATGTTCAAAACAAATCATTGTATTCATAGTTTTTGATAGTATTTTTTTTTTTTATATGTGGCACTACTTTGTTTATTCTAACAGACAAAATAAATACTGACATATCGTGTATCGAGAAAACTTTCTGAAATATCATGATATAACATTTTTGCCATATCGTCCATCTCTAGTACAAAAGTTTCATTTTGGTCACTCCCTAATTACTATGCATATCCTAACTTCCCTAATACAGAGAAAAACATGGAACACATTTTGTTATTACCGCACCGCCTCTTGTATTTCTAAAAGCCCTCACTCGCCCATTCCACTTTCTCTCTTGCCTTATTCTTCCACCCCATTACCTAATAATGTTTTCCATACTCTCTCTCTCTCTCTCTCTCTCTCTGTGAAGGGTTAATATCAGAATGAAAAAAGCTATAGAAACATAAAGGTCGTCAGAGGGGGCTACCGCCCACTATCTCTATCTACGTTTCCATGACAACAGGGTCTCCACAGCACCCCCCCCCCACATACAAATTCAGTTATTCATACACACGGACACTAACATGCAGTCACTTGGCAGATACACGCTCAGACACACGGGCTTACAAACACACAGACACAGACGCACACACACGAACGCTGAAATGCATTTTGTGTTCTTTCAATTTGCAAAGAATGATTATCTATTAGACTTACTCAAAGTCAAGAGCACCACAAGCAGTCCAGGGACTCCCTCACTCTCTCTCTGCCTTCACTCCAGCTCTCTCTTGTACGATGTCTGTGAAGCAACAACCAGGTTTATTTATTTATTGATGTTTCTCCCCTCCAGCCACAATAAAAAAAGGGGAGAATAAAAGAAGTGGTGAATAATTAAAGGTGGCGAGTGTACTCATTAAGACGGGGGGGCAGGTTTAGATGTGTCAAATAGGAGAGAAAGTGGAAGAAGGACAGGGGTTGCTGAAGATCAAAGGAAGATTCGGGTATGATAATAGAATTAAAGATTAATAAGATGGTTACACGCCCGAAAAGGGAAAAAAAAACAATAAGGAAAGAAGAAGGAGGATATTATCCACAATACACAGGCAGTGAAACCCAGTTAAGAAGCAATATTAGACTCTGGGAACTTGTGATGCTTTATAACTCTGAGCTCTCAGTGCCTCTGGGCGAGCTTAATGCTGTTAGATACACAAGTGGCAAAAAAAGTCTTTCTCCAGCACAGCATGAAGTGCCAATACACAAATCTATACTAGGGTCATTCTACAAAAAGTGGACAGTTTGCATCCCCACACTTCTCAAAAATGTTTTCAGATCATCAGACCTGCTGTCTTTAGGATGGTAACAGGGCTGACTGTCAAAGGGTTTAGGTTTGGAGCTTAAGTCAGCCTGTAGCTTATCCCACTTGTGCAGAAAGCTATTAGAGCACATGGTGTCTGTGTGGTCGTATCATGTAGTCATGGGGACCAAAACTGAGAGCAGTAGTAAAAATGCTCCGGTTTTGCATTCTTTTCTAATTTAATACAAAAAATGTTATTAAAAATTATATTATCAGCACACAAATTTGAGTGAAAAGTAGAATCTTTGAAATATTTACATGCTTTCAGAATTTCTTAGTATGTCCCACTCTTGCTTTACTGACAGCAGCACTCGAGCTGTTCATGGACTCCAGATGTTTGTGCAAAAGCCTCTGGTAAACTAAACACAGGCTTCACTGGAAGAGATAAGACTAAAAAACAGGCTGAGCTCTCTGTACAAAGGCCTTAACATGGTCAATGTCACACATTTGCTTAAATTTGAATAGTGACCTAAAAAGCAGAATCTGCAATATTTCATCTTCATTTTACTTGTGATACCTCTATTTTAAATTGATCATAAAAAAAATCAATGTGAGTGAGCAGTTTGCCCGTGATAGTATACTTTTAGATATTATCACATTCATTAATCATGCTTTAGTGAAGTGCTTCAATGTTAAAGCTCTGTAAGTTTTAAACAGCAAATATCAGATTGTAATCTGTAGATACTGAATATTTCAATAACAAAACTGGAAAAAAGTGGTTTCATGTCTTCTCTTGTGGAAACTGAATAAATGAATACTTTGTGTTAAATGTAATACGGTTGATGTGTTTTTAATCAGAAGTTGCATAAATGTACTTCAATGATTTGTGGACAGATCAATGTAAATGTTCGATTCATATATGTGCAATTATAATATTTTGTTTTTTGACCTCGAATTGTGCAAGATGTGCTTTAATCATTTAAAAAATATGCAGTTTTAACTGTTATTCTAATATAAGGGACACAAACTGTACTGTTTTGGTAGAATTACCCACAAATCATGTTTGTAGCGCAGCATTGGGAACTAATGTGAAACTCATCACATACCACTTCAGACCACTCATACCCGAAATCCATCCAACTCTGACAGTCCATGACAAAACTCCACATAACATGAAACACTGCAGAGCACGAGGTCCACAGAGGCAGCAGCAGTGCCGGTGTTTCTGAAAGACACATGAGTGGATTGGACCCATCACCCTCTCCCTGTCCCTCTTCCCCTCCCTCTCCCGAAATGGGCCACGTTCACTCAGTGCCAGCCTCAATGACAGACTGCGCCTCTGGAAACAGGAGTGTTCATTAAAGAAGCTCCGCAGGTGCTTTGGGATCACGCAGTGCACGCGAACTTGGCCAGCCACCCAATTAGACATTTCACCCGCATTCAAACGGCCTAAATTAACATGGCACGTAATCTCTGAAGGCACAACAAGAAACATATTTCACTCTAAATGGGTAATTAATACGACAACTAGCACTTGTAGCCTTTCGTCAAATCCAGTGAGGTTGGGGCGCATGAAAGCCAAGCTAAAAAAATAAAAAGTGGCGCAAATGCAACCAGTGAAAATATTAGCCTCAGTTAATAACGGCAATCACAGCGCAGTGAAATTGTGAAATTAGGCGGAAAAGCCATCACTACTGACCTTCTCTCCCCTCAGAGCGCCACACAGCGCCTCTGCTCTCCCTCTCTGCACCCCTCCTCCTCCTCCTCCTGTTCTCTCACTGCGACCTTCAGTCGTTTTTTTCCTTATTATTTCCACCTGTGTGAGGCCTCGATGCGGGAGTTTTCTCCCTGAGGGCTGTCAGAGTGGATCAGAGAGGGTGATGGCACTCAGAGGAGTGACCTGACAGTTACTGAAGCAGTAATGGCCTTTTCGAGTCTTTTGAGGAGTCGGTTCATTTGAGCCAGTTCGTGAAAAAAATCCGGTGCACCTGACACAAACTTGAGGTTCTCACTACACAATATATTATCACCAAGTTATCTAAAACTGACATGGTTACGTCAGTGCTTAGCCAGCACAGGCAACACAAAGGCCATCCACTGATCCACAAAATATGACTTACCCAGCTAAAAGTAGAGAAGACAGTCTGCAGTCATGCCTACCTGCCTACAATGGCACCACAGTAGAGATTCTCTAGAGTGAGATTTTCTGGTTAAAAGATTAGGAAAATATTTGGATTTAGGATTTTTGAGGTCGTGTTGTTTTAAAATTTCTTCTTTTTTGTCACTGGCTAATGAATATGAAGCTAATGCTACTGCTAGGACATCACACAGTGCAGCCGTATAGCTGTAACTGTCTTCAAATCATCCTTACAATAGAGAGAATGGAGAAATATGACTCAGATGAGCAGGAAAACAAGCTAAAAGCTAAGCTCTAAACCCCAACACAGACAGCATGCATTCCTGCTCCAAACTGGTCTATGTTGGTTAAGTGCTGGCCTGGTGCTAGTTTAGCTGATCACACAGCATGACCGGGCTAACCAGCATCTAAAGACAACATGATGATTTTGCTGGTCTGTGCTGGTTTTTCTAGCGAGGTGTTGTGCCAAATAAAGATAAAATTGCTGGAGTTTTTGTGACTTTCTTCGATTATTGAGGTAAGAGGTACCAGCTTGCTAGCTTGGTTGTATTTATAAGTCTACAGATCAGTGGCTAGGCTAGCAGTCAGGACTGGTTGACACTACAAGGATTCTCAGTGGTTGTATTAAGTCTATGCTGATGCGTGCTGGGTATTGTAGAAAGAGAACACTGATGATTGATGGTGAATAATGTCACACCGTTGAGGCTGAGGGATACAGTGCTGTGCTACATAATACTGAATAACATCAAGTATAACATTTTAAACTCTAGTTTGAGGCTGAAATCCCCCTCTAACCACCTAAACCATTTCTCTCACTCTCAAATTGCTTTTTTTCTGCAAAATTCTGTTAGGTCTGACAGGCACGGTGGCATTTTTCTTCATTAAATCACTGTAATTCAGTTGCATTTGTGTCAAAGAGCTTCGACTTTTTTCATCTTCTCTAAGCCAAACTGAACTTTTCTTAAAAAAAGGTAATTCACACTCTGATGTAGCCTCATTTACAAAGGTTTGATTGATTTCATGTGAGATTTATGAACACTGTCTGTACGTATGTAAACTTAGGATATCAACTTTTCCCAACTTACCAACTTTATGACATCAACTCTTTTTATTTATTTCTCTAACTCACAGGTCTAAAGGTTTCTGTGCATGTTTCTCACCTGTTTCACTGAGTTTGCTAGCTGTGAGAATCTGTAGTGATTAATCGCAGCAATATAATACAGACAGTCAGGGATGGACAATCCTAACAGAAAACACACTGGAAAACGTGAAACAGCACAAAAAAGAAAATGTGAATCAGGCCTACTATCTTGCCATTTGTATTGGATGCTTTTGAAAAACTCAGGTAATTTTTATCAATATATTTAACATTTTTTAGACTATACTCTAAAATAGTTTGCCCCCAAATGGTCTCCCCGTAAATATGCAAAGCAACGCACAAAATCATTCTGAAGCAGGTGTTAACACCTTAGATCTATTAGCACCTTTTCTTAGAGAACAACTTGCAGTAGCACTTCCAGGTCCTGTCCTAAAGCTTGCCTTAGGCCTTATGGTCCACTTCAAGACTGCACCTTAGTGGCATGAAACCGAAGGTGACTAAACGTGTGCAGGCGCACAAGAGTGCATGGATTTAAATCTTCTCACGTTCAAGTTCGTTTGTTGCAATTAAGAAAAAACATGGAACAAAATTTAGAACAATAAATAACAATAATTATTAATTCAAAGCAGTTAATAAGCTTTTAAATGATAGTCATAAAGAGCCAATCATTAATTTGCTTTTATACTCGGCTTTGTGCCAAACCAAAAAGACTAAGCAGGAGGCAACAGGAGGTAAATAATAGAAGCATTTGAGAGGTGCTGGTTAATCAACAGCATGGAGTGTGAGAACAGCAAAGAGTGCAAAGAACAAAGTAAGAAAAGAGTAAAGCATGCTTTAAATAGTACAGCACATTCTGACATTCAGCACAGTAAAATAATGCAGTGCTAGAGCGAACATGAGAAACAGCACAGCATAATTATAGTGTGATTGCAGAACGGTGAAACTCCGCGCACAGTGCAGCACTACAGCCCAGGGCTGAACAATATAATAATATGATATCTTCATTACAATTAATTGGATTATGATAAGCTTTTCTAAGCATCGTCAGTACATCCACAACACAGAACGACTTCACGTTTTACTAAAACGAGGTTTGGACGAGGCTTCCAAACATAGCCATTTAAGGTGTTGCCCTATTGTTGTGAACTTAAATCCTGGCAATAGCAGATGACCAACTGAGAATAACTGACACTGTTTAATTGGATGTAGTGTTGTGCCGTATATGAAACATGAATAAAAAAATTACTCATAGTTTTGATTTTTTTTAAA